ATTTTATTTTTATTAATAATAATATAATAATTATATTTAATAATTATATATTTATAATATTTTAAAAATATATATATATAATATATTTTATTAATCTGTTATAATTAATATAAAATTAAAATTAATTATTAATTTTATAATTTTTTTTATTAAAAAAAACTATTAATAATTAAAAAAAGTAATAAAAATTTATTATTTAAATTATATTTTATTATTATTACTTTTATTTTTTAATATAATTAATTTAAATAGTTTATAATATATTTTATTATATTATGTTTATTATTTATTTTATAAAAATATATAAAATTTAATAAAAAAACATAAGTTTAATTTTACCGGTTTATATTTTATTAAATTTTTTAAAATAAATAATTTTTAATTAAAAATTATAAATAATATTATATTATTAAAATGTTATTATTTCTATATATTTAAATATAAATAAAATTAATTTTTAATTTTTTTTTTATTATTTTTATTATTAATTATTAATAAGTTTTTTATACTTAATTATTTTTAAATTTATTAATTAAATATTTTCTATTTTTAATAAATTATTAAAATTATAAATTTTTTTAAAAAATTAATAAATTCTTTTTATTAATATTAACATTTTTATTATATTTAACCTATGTAAAAAATTTTATTATATTATTAAAATATATAATTTTATTTAAAATATATATATTATATTTAAATTTGTTAATAATTAATTATAAATAAATAATATACGTATTTATTTTAATTATAAATAAATATAAAATATAAAAACTTATTTATTAAATAAAATATAATTTTATAACAATTTTCATTTTTATTATAATTAAAATAAAATTATCTTATTTTTAAAAACTAACTCGAAATAAAAAAATTAATATTACTTAATTATATATATTTTTAACCCTTTTAAAAAAATTAATAATAATAATAATATAAAAATTATTATTTTATATTAAAATTAATATTATTTATTATTTCCTTATACTTTTATAAAATTTTTTTTTACTTAATTTATTTACATTATATTTATTAATAACGTTATTATAATATTTACTAATATTGTTATTAAATATATTAATAATAAAATAAAATATATTATTTATAAATTTATTATATTTAATAATAAAATAAAAAAATATAAAAAAAAAATATTTATTTAAATTAATTTTACTTAATTATTTACCAAAATAATTAATATTTATTAATTTTTTATTAAATAAAAACGGAACCGTAATTAAATGGAATAAAATAATACTAATAATTATTTTAATATAATTTATTTATTATATATTAAATAAATAAAATAAAATATAAATAATTATTTTATTTATAAATATAATAAATTAATTTATTTATTACATATAAAATAACTAAAATAAAAATATAATAATAATTATAATAATAATAATTTTAATTTTATTTATAACGTTAATAATTATTTATTAAATAACGTTTATTTTTTTAAAAAAAATAAATAACCTATTAAAAAATCTCAATTATATTTTAATTATAAAAACTATAATTATTTAAATATTAAAATAAAATTTACATTTTTAAAATATATTATATCCAAATTAATTAAATTTATAATAAATTTAATTAATAATATTAATTAAAACTTTAACCATAATATTAATTATAATAATTTTAATTATATTTTACCAAAATTTAACATATTTAATAATATATTAAATAATATATTTATAAAAATATTTTATAATTTTTATATATATTTAATAAATAATTATTTATAATTAAAATTTTTATTAATTATAATAAAAATTTAAATAAAATATATAAACAATATTAAAAATTTAAACAAAATGTATAAATAATAATAAAAAATTAAATATTTAAATATATAAATAATAATAAAAAAATAAATTTAAAATATTAAATATTTATAAAATATATTATTTATTTAAATCTTTAAATAATTATAATATATATTATTATTATTTAATTTTTAAAATTTTAAAATATATTATTTAAATATAAATAATTATTAATATAAATATTATATTTAATATTTATATTTTTTTATATAAATTAAATAAATAAATACTTTTTGGCTAATAATAATTATTTATTAAAAAATAATTTTCGGATATAAAATAATTTTTATATTTAATAACTGTTTCTTAAAACCACCTTTTGCCGCTATGGTAATCATTTCCATTTACCTTAAGTACCTCATTACATAATATAAAATGTACTGTGCCGTGTTGCACAAACATTAAGTTCATGCTGTTGGCACCCGAACATTGAACATCAAGTGGCTCCTGCTACAGATATTGATATAAATTGCAGGTGTTATGCCTCAAGTACAACTCAAGTACAGCTGAGGTAATCAGCTAATCTTTTTAGTGGTGAAATACTGGGGCTGGGAAGGATTACTCGGGAATGGGTGTGTGGGGTTAAGGTTGTACCCCTCTGTAACTGCCCTCAATTCCCTAAGGCCTAGGTAACTCCCCCAGGCCTAAAAAATATAATGTGGAGCTTCTAGGTACAATGTAATTTGTAAACTTTTACAACTTCACAACTTCATTCACTTCTACTATCTACTGTTTTATTTGATCGACTTGACTTCATTTATTCATTTTAAAAAGGTACCGATTGTTTCATTTTGAAAGACTTGGAATTTCTTCGTGACAAACAGGCTGTTACGCGTTGATGGTCCTCATGATCTTTAACAAACTCATTCCATCTCCAACTTAAATACTTGCCAATATAACGCCTCGATTAGCTTGATGCTTTCATCAGCGCACCTTTTTTCACCATGACAGACAACCAAGCGGATTCCGATTTTCGCACCATCGTCAATGCTGCTGCCGCAACGTGGTATTCGCGGCACACGGGTTCACCCGAACATATCCAATCTAACAGTGAGTATCATGGCTATCCACCTGTACACCGTAGCTATTACTTACGATCCTCCAAAGGCAGTAGTCAGCAGGAAGCCGGTTCCGACCACGTAGATAAAAATGGTGGTCCGGCAATAAATGGCCCGGCAACGAATGGTTCGGCATTCCGTAGTGATCTAACTACCTGGGAAAGCTCATTGGAAGTTCTGCCGGATGAGATGAAGAACATGCCACTCCCAGTTCACCCGCTCGCCCAGGCTTTGGCGGAGCAGCCTACCTTGCGTCAAGTCGAATGGAATCCATATAGGCAGCAAGGTGGATTCAAACCAAGGACAGCTATTGACTATAGTTCCTTGATGATCTACTTATCAGGACAAGTCAACCCAAATCCGTGTCGTAATTGTCGTTTAAAGAATGGCCCCTTCACCCGCTGCATCGTGGCACCTCCCTCAGTTCTCGCATTGAGCAGCCTTAAGCACGCGTGCGCCAACTGCACCTACCAGAACCAGCACAGGAAGTGTACAAATCTCCCTATTAACGACGAGGAATTGGTGGCGAGGAGCCGGATGGCTAGATCGACCCAGAAATCAAAGAATCCCGCTTCGATGAAGCCCCCTGGCCGGAGACCTAAGTCTATTTCTGATGGCACTCCTCACTATACGCCAAGGTACAAGCCGGATCATGGGCACATGATTCGCAAACCCACATCGCGGAGCATTACTGCAGATTCATTCGGCGACAAGCTCCGTCAAGTTCGTTCATGGTCACCGCGATCTCGACGGCTGATGAAGGCTGAAGTAATGCAATGGGAAGCAGCGATTATGACGATTGAGGCTGAGAATACCCGATCTCCGCATATGGACCGTGTGCTCGATGGTCAAGGCCAGCTCGATATATCCAATAAGCCTATTGGCCTCCCACCTACTCCTTCGTACCCCCGTGGATCTTATTCGGGCTTGGCCGGCGCTGCTTCAATGGACGAGTCTTTGGATGAAATAGAAGCTGAGGAATATCGTGAGATATATGGCCAGCGGCAGATGGCAGAGGATGACGAAGACGAAAATGAAGGGGAGAGTGATTATGAAGGTCCACCATGGGTTGGTTTCCACGGTGCAGGACGCGGACTGAAACCTCCGCTTTAAGGAGTGGTATGCAGTCTAAGATATAGATAGGAAAAGGCCGCATTTCAACGTTGGCCAAACATCTTAACCTGTTCAGTTGTTTCGGCAGTGAGTCGATATCCAAATTGCTTTAGTTAGGTAGGTATATATACTACTAATAATCCAAATAGCATCCGCTAGATCTATCCTATCATTCACTTGGCCACCTGGCTTCGTGCGTTCCTCTTAAACAGCTCCCCAAATCATATCCTAACTTTGTTGTCTCGTATGTAGCCGCGGGCCCAACAAATACCATATCCTCATCAGGCTCTCCAAGGTCAGCCTTGAGAGTCAAGTAATATCTTGGATCTAATAATTGCGGTACCTTGTCCGGCAAACCGCGTACCAACTAATAAATATATTTTAGCACATGAACTCGCAAGCAACAAGCACAACTTTCTGAAGCACGAGTACTTACCACTCTTGCTTGTCTGTGCAAATCATCGTAATGCCGCGATTTTAAATCCGGCCACATATCGCGCAACGACTGCTGCACTTCCGGGCTCTGGGTTCTAAGGGATATTATGAAGCTGTTGAGCTGATTTAGCGACATGGACACAAGATAATTGCCCCCTTTCTTCGATCGCTTGTCTAGCGCATTCATGATGCCGATGCACCCCACGATGCCAGTCTGGAAGTCGGAGTTGGGCAGAAATGGCATCACCGGCTCGTCGACATCCCACATCTGAGCGAATAACCATGCAACTCCCGTTACGGCGTCGCTGATCTGCTGCCACCCGCTGCGATGCTTCCACGGACCCTTCCAACCGTAGCAGTTCTCGCGCGCGTATACGATACCCTTACCCCGTCTCCTAGCTATCTCATGCACATACTTGGGCCCGAATCCGAGCTTCTCTAGAGCTCCTGGCCGGTAGCCATCGAGCACGACGTCCGCGTCTTCTATCAGATGCCGGAGTGCTTCCCGTCCTTCTTCGCTCTTCAAATCGAGGTGGGCATCCCGCTTTCCGAGGTTGCTCTCGAATAATACAATGCCTAGATCAGGCAGGTTCGTATTTGATACCCTGACTACAGTAGCCCCGAACAGCGCCGCCAGCTTCGCCATCGTCGGGCCTGCAATCGCCCGTGTGAGATCGACGATCTTGATACCCTCCAAGGGTCTATATGTCTTCGTATCGACCTTGGGCCAAGGCACTGGTGGTAACTTTTCGTCGGGATACTCTTCTAGTATATACAACCCGTCATCAGCTATAGCCTTTCCTTGCTCAGTCTCGCGGTACTCTTCGGGAGTAAAACAGATTCCGCCCGCCTGCCTCCAGTACTCGTTAGCTTCGATATCCAACCAATCTGCATCAAATTTCTTCACTCTCTCCGAGAGCCCCTTAATCGCCTCCATTTCGTCTGCAACATCCTTATGCGCCGGCAACCCGAGCATCCGGAGGCTACGGTCGGAATCCAAGCCGCCGTGCAAGTGGAACCAGCGACCATCCCGCGTCGGGTAAACATTAGTAACCAGCCGCCTCCAGAATGTGAATTGTTGCGTGGTGTCGTAGATTGAGTACCTCCTTACCAGCTCCGGGTCGGAGACCGGCTTCCCGCCGACCCGCAGAAGCCAGAACGAGAAGAGAAACGCGGAGGCGACGTCGCTGTTTACGACAACGTGCTGGTCTGTGAGACCGTACCGCTCAGCGGCCACGGCATTTCCAAAGGTCGCGAGTAAAGCCCATAATGCCGCGCTTGACTCGGTGCACTTTATGGGGGCGGGTAAGAAGGGCACTTTTAACGCGGAGGAGTCAAACGAAGTGCGCTGGGCTGCGTCTTGGACAGACTGCGGGATCTGTAGGCGCGGATCCGTAAGAAGTACTGAGTGTAGGATGCGCGATGCTTCCTTCTGGATGGTGTAGCCTTCGTCTGCCATTGCTTATACACCTCTATTAACGCTTGTCTCCCTGTTTCGAACTGATCTATCTGGGAATTTTATAAATCCGTACGTATAAGTAGACTTGACCACTCATCACTCATATACATGCACACATATAGACATCTATACATATATGCAGGTAGGCTAGGCTCATGTGGAATTGTATACTCGCCTATCTACTATGCCTGAGACCGCAAGACAGGGGAGAAGACCCCAATGTCCTGCGGGGAAGATGCACGGCATGGCGCCGAGTAGCATTTTATCCGCGGCTGCGGACTGCATGAAGGAGAGCTGATGTCGGTAGATCGGTAGCGGCTGAATAGTACATATTTCAAATTCTATCAGCACTATTAGCATTATGAATATTAGTGGAATATTTACAGCCCCTGACTACGATGTATGCCCACACAAGAATATAATATTACCTAACCTAACCTGTTTTATTTTATGTAAGTAGAATCGTTACAAACTTGTAGCTCTTGCTGTAAATTGTTTCACTTATCATGCATGTAGTGCCTGACTTATACATAGAGTTTACTGTCTAAGAAGTTGTAACCTCGTGCCGTCGCTAGTCTGTCTCAGAAATAATCGCACCCAGGGGTTTCCCTTCCAGACTTTTCTCCTCTAACCTAAACTTTCCACTCTACAATAACGACTCCGTTCTTCATGTCTCTTACCCAAATATATGTCGTGCTAAATCCGGTCTGCCAACCTGCCCGTAGAGCTCTGTAGCTCTGTAGCTCTGCTCAAATAGATATGATGTTCTAAGAGTTGGTCTTCTTGGGCACATATTATATTCTGTATCAACCAACCTTCTAAAGTTCTAATGGCGTCGACTATTTCAAGCTCTTCAACGAGCTCTTCTCCTGTTTCCTTCCAAGATCCTGAAGATTTGACTATTGAACTTCAACCCGCGCCTCTGCGCCTCCCCCGACGCAGAACTGATCCGAATCTCGATGGAACAAACTCCGTAGCCGAAGAACAGATGTCTATTATAGGCGGAAATGACTCTACTCTTACCGCCCATCGAGAAAGTATTAGCCCTCCACCAATAGCCAAGAGCCTATCGCAACGCCGCGCTCCAGCTCACAAATTGGGGCCACTTGTATCAAAGTTCGAGACCCTTGACGCAGTAAATAATGCTGATACCATCTCGCCTCTCGATTCTAAACCTAATGCGATTCCCCGAATCCATAGGCCATTGAGACACAGCCGAGCAAGTGAATCTCTACAATATATTGCTTCGGAGAAGTATTCGACCCCTGCAAACTCCTTAGATGTTCCTCCAAGACGAGTTGAATCCCCACCACCATTCAGCAATAAGCCAAAACTCCCGATCAAACCGGCACTGAAAAAATCTTCTATAGAAGATAATGTTGAAGCAAGCTCTAGCTTCCGTGGGGCGGTAAAGGAAGACATATTCATCAAAGAAAGAGGGCAATCTCTAGAAAAAGACGTTTCACCTATTCGGGAATTGAAAGAAGGCAATCGGAATTCTGACAAACCCCATAATGTCACTTCTCCAACAGGTAATGGACCCGGATAGGATCCTAGGTTGATTTCAGATCGGAGAAGGGTTTTTGAGAATAGCAGTGGTAAGTTCGCCAATGAAGATTCCGTTATTAGAATGAAATATTGGGCAAGGCTAAATTGACAGAAGATTCCCCTATCACCAAGTCGATGGGCTCAACCTCAACCCCATTACCGGCCCAGAAGACAGTGTCTACGTTGGCGACTAGCTCATCGCAGCCTCTTTTAACCTTTAATTCCTCTCAGGGGAATTCACCAACTAAGTCAAAACTGCAGACTATCTCCACCGATAGTCCTCTCAAATATTGTCAGAAGGGGAATGTCGACAAAGATGAGCAAATTTATCACGACATTGAGCAGCCAGTACGCAGAAAAAATGAACTTACGGCTTCCTCCAAAATCCCAGTCAAAAGGGCACAGTTGAGCGTTGCAGATCTTCGCAAATCCTTCGAGAAAAACGCACAGGCGACTGGGCCCGAACTCCATATGTCAAATACGTCTAAGCTATCTTCAGAGATACTGAACGATCGTGTTACTCGAATTAGCAAGGAAGCAGTCCATTCCTATAACTCTGATAATCGAAGAAGTATTTCTTCGACCAGAGCAACAGCGCATAAAGATAGTAGAGCTACCCAGCCGCCTCAGAATCGAAAATTTATCCATACCAGGTCTGAAAATACACTATCGGAACAGTCCCTACCAGTCCCATATACTACAAGCACGTCAGAGCTTACCACGACAGCTTATCACCCGGAGAGTGGTCGACTTCGCCTGATAAACAACCGTAACCTCGATGGAGCTATGTCGCTTGAGGGCGAAGGGGGCCCAGATGCCAAGGGAGGACTAAATGAGCCCAGCACCGCGGCCATCCCCGATGCCCAAGCCATCCGAAGAAATAAGTCCTCTCGTACAAGTAGAATTCATTCGATCCTAGTTAATAATTCAAAAGCCAGCTTCCACAGTATACTAACAAGCAGACATCCTATAGCGAGCGATGGGGCAACGCCAGAATCAGGTAGGGTTCAAAAGCCTGCATCAAAGCCGGTATCAAAACCGGCATCTGCAGCAAGGTGCTCAGGCAAGGTATCTGATCTTCGGAGACTCTTTGAGAGATCCTCACCTCGAGAGTCGTCTCCGAACTCATTTAAGTCATTTTGGCAAAATAGGGGTCGAAATAAGCCAGTAGTCGGAACAGAAAGAGCTTCTACTATTCGGCAAGGCTTAAATATGTCGTCAACTACATTGGCTACACAGATAGGTTCTGTGAAGAAGGTCAAAGTTCCCGAGTTAACAACAGAGATATCAGTTAATGATTTCGCCTGTGACTTCTCTGAACCATAGGATGGTGCGCGACCAGTAACACCAGGGGCGCACGCGGAAACGAATACCATTGGAAGCCAGTCGATTAAACAAGAATCCCCTGTCAAAGATCGTATCCAACAGTTCGAAAGTTTGGAAACAGGTCCATTAGATAATAGTTCAACTCCGAGTTACTACGATTTTAACTCAAATATTTCTCCTAATAAACAAAAAGCCGATGCTAGTCAAATAGAACCTCAAGCTAATCGGCGCTCGCTTAGACAACGAAAGGCAAGGTTGTGGCGACGAATCTCAAATACGTTTACTCGATCGATCGACGGAGGGAATAGCAACGGTAATGACGGGGAGCAATCTGGTTCGGGCCGGGATAATGATATTAATAATGTCCCATCATCCTCGATACGCCGTCGACCTCGATATCGTCGTTCAAATCTCTTTGGTTATCATCTGTACCACACATCTGAAGTGATTCGGTCATCGACTGATTCGGTTTATACCAGATCAAACATCAATATCAATGAAGAGTTAATTGAGAGGCTCGAGAACCAGCCTCCATATATAGCTTATAGGCCATCACCGTCTAGTTATTTATCAATGCGCAAAACGTTTCCTTTCTTAGCTCGTATGTCGGATGATCTGGGCTGCTCAGATGAATTCGACGATTTTGGACTCGACGGCTCTGTGTTATCCAAGGCCATTCGCCGGCGGGATAAGTCATCTGCCGGACAAATCTCGCAAGGCCCATCTTCGCCTGTGTCTTGTAGTGATTCTAATGCCGTATCGAGTACCACATCTAAACAAACGATGGCAGAGCGCAAGCGTCGCCGGTTAGAAGAGAAAGAGCTTCGAAAAGAGCAGAGACAGAAAAATAAAGAAAAGGCGATGGAAAAGGGTAAAGGAAAAGAGACAGCAATAGGTGACAACCAGGGAGCGGAGAGTGCACGAGATAGGGAGAAGAGCAAGGATGCTGAAGGCAAGAAGAAAGAAAGTAGCTGGAGCAAGAAGACGGCTTCTGGGTTTATGGTGCGGCAAATCCACGATATCAAGCTGAAGCATCCGAAGCCGAGGAGACCAGGTCAAATAAAAAAGATTGTCAACATGTACAAGGACAAGTCCACGAGCGGGATCAGACTCGGCAAGGGGAGCGGCGTTAGCTCTGGGTCAGGTACTACGGGCACCGCAGGCGCATCGAGCAACTGAACCAGCAGACTTTATTGCATTAGGCATCGACGTAAAGGTTAGGAGCGGCAAGCAAATAGTATCAGTTATCAGGACGTTGTAGACTCGGGGCCTGTCGAATGATGAAGGAAACAGGGGAAGACGACCATGAGTGGCACAGAGAGCTGTCTTATCGAGTATTGGATACCCCCGTGGTCGGCCATTATCGAATTAGCTAGAGGACCACGGAGGAGGAGACGCAATAGAACACCTAAGATACAGAAGACATTCTTTAGCCAATGAGAGAGAAAGGGTTATCCGGACATGCGCTATGAGAAATACATCTATATATTCTGTTTCCTCTTTTCTGTGAAGATGATCAGTTATATATCATATTAACCGTGTAGTCTGTTGCCTTACCTGGTTGATATCACCAGTTTCCACGGTGGTCACCAGTTACATAACTATAAAAAAGGGGGGAGATACACGCGCACAACACAACACAACTATATCTAGCAACGCGAACTTTAATAGACTCGAGGTATCTTAAAACCCTCCTATATTAACAGCTGAAACCCCATTATCTCCCGTTCGCATCTTGACCTTACTAAGCCTAAGCATCAAACTGTAGGCATTAGTTAGACCCCCCTTTAGACAGACAACTATACTACTTAGGTTGGGTACCTGGGTAATTATAGACCCAGCAACCCCCCCACACCAAACCACTTATCCATACCAATAACCTTCATATATTCATAGCAAACCCTCAGGCAACCTAACTTACCCAGCAAGTCCCATCCCCCTCCCAATCTTCCTCGCAAGCGCCTTCTTCAAAAACCACTCCCGCGCCAATCCGCGCGTTGTCCGGGCGAAAACCGCAGGACTTATACGGCCGCGCTCAACCGCGCGCCCAAGCACGAATATCGCATCCCCGAGAGCGCGCTCCTCGGCTACTACGTCGTATAACTGGTTTGCGACGACGGTGGGGGCGACTAATAAGTCGTCGATAGGCGGGGGTGCGCGGGTGCGCGCGTTGGATACCACGCGGTCTGCTTCTTGGAGGGAGTGTTGCAGGATCGAGGTGTTGGACGCTAGCATTGCCGATAGGGGGCCTAGGGCCGAGGCGTCGGATTGTAGGTTTTGCAGCGCGGAGAGCATGGCGGTGCGTTGGGCGGAGAGACCGGCTAGGGAGGATTCGTTTTGGGCGCGGGCGCGCTGGCGTAGACCGTAGAGGGTTGAGGCGAGTTGTTGGAGGAGGGCGTCTTTTTCGGGGTTTGGGGGGATGGGGGGTGGTGGGAGGTCATTGGCGGAGGGCTCTGGTAAGGCTAGGGAGAAGGGCTCGTCCATGAGATCGGGGGGTGGAGGAGGTTTGGGCTTTGGTTGCGCTGGAAGCTGTTGTGGTGGGGGTTGCTGCCAAGTTGGAGGTGGGCCGGCGTATGGTGGCTGTCCTGGGATGACGGTGGCGTTGTATGGGATGGGAGTTACGGGGGATATCATGGATGCGCGGCGAGAATCCTGTGGTGTGAGTCCGAGAGGAGGTGGACCGCCTTGCTGATATGTATGTTGTTGGGGTTGGTACTGGACATTCGGGGGTGGTTGTTGATATGATTGTGGTGGATGCGGCGGTAGAGGAGGTGCTGCGTCGTATCTTGAGAGCCGATTTGGTTGCGGAGACTGCGTTGCTGCTGCTGGCGCGCTATACTGGCTTGACTGCCGACGAACATCTTCCGGTAGAGGTGGTCGTGGGGGACCGTCCGTGTGAGTAGTCGGGCCTGATACTACCTGGGGGAGGTCGCTACCTTTGGGGGGAGGCGGTGGCGGCCTTGGATCCTGTGTATGTGGAGATGGGACCTGCTGAGGAGTCTGTCTTGACATATCAGGGGGTAGAGGAGGAACCGGTGGAGGGGTCGGCGCTGGAGCGGATTGTTGCGGTACGGGAGGAGCTTGCTGGCGCGAGACGACCGGAGGCTCTTTCGCAAATACGTCTCTAAGTATAGCGATAAAGTCTAACAGGGAAGATTTCTGGTCAAACACTATTAGCATATCGCATAGATACAATATCAGCTATTGTAAACGATATACATACGTCCCAGAACTCGGCCCATCCTACGAGATAAGGATGATATATGCGTCCCTGAGGATCAACATGCTGGCCTGGCCGCACCATCATATTCTCGGTGGGCGTGACATAGCCCAGGGGCGCCTCGCGTGGGTAGGCGTGCGGTATCCATAGCGATATAGGAAATCGGTAGGTGGTGCCGCGGAATATGACGGGGATGGTGCCGGATAAGTGTAAGAGGAGGGCAGACACGCCGTTGTCGAAAGCTAGGAGCTCGTTAGAAAAAGCTGATCAATTGAGAATGATGGACACTATAAGATGGGTTCGTACTATGGACATCGGTCCTAGGCGATAGTGAAGGGTATTGGGATAGCGCTTGGGCTACATCGTTGTAGGTGCGGTTAACATCTTGGTATTCCTATACAATTGAAGCTATTAGAGACGAGTACAATCAAATATGAAGAAGTTATTAGTATTAGTATGATATGTCTTACGCTCGTCAAAACGCTATATAACCAATTCAATATGTGCTGCTGGACCACCATGTTGGGAATCCTTCGCAGCGAATTATGGTCGTAGTAGCCGCGTCATGATAATTGATTGGTGTTGAGCTTCGGGGGGGAGTTGTGATAATGGAGAGATAATGTAAAAGTAATGGGAGCCTTGCACTGAGCTGCCCGCCAAGGCTGATGAAACCGCTTATGGAGGTGTAGCCAATCATAGTGGAGTTCCCCTCGATTAAGCTAAATAATTGGAAATGACGTAAGCAAGTACTACATAGTACAGCAGCTTAAGCCGATGAATTCCCAGGTTGGCCTCACATGTCAATTATGTAATAGTTTCACAGAGGCAACTTTTCTTCTCTTCTCCAAAGTCTTCCGTCTTCTTTCATCCCACGCTCAAAGCACCTTTTTTTTTTTTCATCAAGGATACTCCTGCACGAGCACCCTTGCGACATCTTGGATCAGCCGACCGGAAGGTAGGTATTCTAAAGCTTTAGCGCGGCAATACCCGATAACTTAGCATCCGCCGGCATCGGGTTCTTTTTTGAAGCTGTTCAACAACCAGTATTTATACGATTCAACTATTATTCTTGTCTAGGTCTAGATCCATCCCACATTATCGGACTCTACGGAAAACCAATGGCGCCATATCACCCGCAGGTGAAGTGTGCCATGTGCCATTTCTCCCTTTTATTAATCACTACATGTATGTAACAGGACGAGTTGTCTATATTCTATCATACATACATACTCCTCGGTCAACAACATCAGGGTGTTTATTCCCCCCTTTTCTCTCATACGACTAAATTGATGAGTAAAAACGATCCATTATTAATATCCAAACTCCCGCTGGGTCCGCCTTTCCGAAACCTTGATGGTCTAGCCTAGGTTAAGGAATTACATATTTTCTCCTCTTTATAAAGTTACGGCTTTCCCACGTCTTTGGTCTTTGGTCTTAAGTCTTTAATTGTTTCCCTCTCCTACAAAACACACCTACCTACCTAAAGTACTTACCTCCTCATACTCAACCTTAACACTTGAGACTTATCACCAACTCTTGACGCAGTTACATGCTCACAACTCAACTGTTGTTTCGCACGGCTGAGGAGTATTACAGGATAAATCTGTATACTCCTTGCGTCAGGAATTAGACTTTTTATTAGTTTAACCACTTGAATCTATTTAAGAAGGTCAACTGTTAGGTTGATTTTTCGTCCATCGAGCTCCACAGCTTCGCCACAAAGCCAACTCAATTTATTGTCTTCGGTTGTTATCTCGTCATCAAGAGACAGTTATACCGCCGTGATGAGACCTCCTATCCCGGTATTATCCGAGTATGGAATCTCGCCAAAGTATGGCTTCTTGCCCGACGTCCTGCCTTTAACTAGGCTTCCGGACCCCTACTATAACAAGTGGGAGTCCATCGGCGCCAATCTACAGAATTTGATTCTTAGCAAGCGTCTTCGAGGAGTTATCGACCGTCTTCCTGTTCTCTCCACCGTCGGTCTGGAACATGACGCAGAATGGAGGAGAGCCTACATGCTCCTGACCTTCTTTGCTCACGGCTACATCTGGGGAGGTGATACTCCCTGTGATCGTGTGCCACCGAGCATCTCTGTTCCCTTGTTGGATATTTGTCAACACCTCGAGGTTCCACCCGTGTCTACCTACGCCGCCTCCGTGCTGTGGAACTTCAAGCCCCTCTTCGTCGACGAAGAGATCGACGATCTTGACAACCTCGCCACCTTAGTGACCTTTACCGGGTCCCTTGACGAGTCTTGGTTCTACCTAGTCTCGGTCGCCATTGAGGCTCGTGGCGGCCCCATCATCCCTCTGATGCTAACGGCAGTTGCTGCTGCTCGACAAGGCGATAGTGCAACCGTAATACGTTGTCTGCATGCCTTCGCCGAGCGCCTCGATGACCTCGGCGAACTATTGCGTCGCATGCATGAAAGCTGCGACCCGGGCTTCTTCTACCGTCGCATTCGCACATTCCTTGCTGGTAGTAAGAACATGGCCGAGGCAGGTTTGCCGCATGGTGTCATGTATGATGATGGTTCAGGCAAATCTGAGTACGTGCAATACAGCGGACCTAGCAACGCCCAAAGCAGTTTGATTCAATTCTTTGATATCATTCTTGGCGTCGAGCACCGTCCCACCGGTGAGAAGCCTAATCCGTCTTCCGAGTCGGAACGTGAAGGGCGAAGCCGTGCCCCCAAACACAATTTTATCCGGGATATGCGACGTTATATGCCAGGGCCGCACGCGCGCTTTCTGAACGATGTTGGAGCGGTTGCTAATATTCGCGAGTTTGTTGAGAGCCGCGCGGCCTCTGATCGTCCTCTAAGCATCGCCTACGATGCGTGTCTTGCCATGCTCCGCGCGTTCCGCGACATTCACATCGCTATCGTCACGCGCTATATTGTCTTGCCGTCTCGAGAGAATAGAGCACGAAGTCGATCGCGTAGCCCCGAAGCTATTAGGAATAGATTAAACCTAGCGACGGCTTCTAAAAACGAGAAGCATAAGAAGGTCAAAGGAACTGGTGGTACAGCTCTGATTCCTTTTCTCAAGCAGGCTCGTGACGAGACTGGCGAGCCCTCAATCGAGGTTTGGGCCAAGAAGTTTATGAGCAGGCAAACTAAGGTCTCAGGTCAAAACGATTTCTTCCTGGGTAAAGACGAGAAATCGGAGGTGCTAGACGAACCGGTTATTGAACATGGTCTTGCAGGGACTTGGACTATGGATGAGGAAATTGGTGGTATCTGCAATTACTGATAGGCAGTGTTACTTGAGCTTTTGTCTCGAGTTAGGACCGTTACAGCAGTTGTAGTAACGAGATACTGGATAATTCCCCAGGAACCGTAGTTCTCCCTTCAGTAACAAGGCCTTATGAATCTACCTATCAGATATTTCACACGCAAACACGAAAAGAAGAATTATTTTTCTTCGACCTGGAGTATCAATTTGATCCTATTTATGACTACCTACAGACTCGCTCATATGTTCCTATACAGTCGCTGAACTGTATTTATCTCGTGTTATTTATAGTATCCTTCAACCTCGGATTAAACAAGTCGAATGCCATAGCTTATGCTCAGTGGTTAATTCTAGAACAACTACTGGTATGTCTTCTATGCGATGTGGTAAGCGCAGAATTTCCAGGAATTCGGGAATTTGAGATAGTGAATGGCACCATGATCCTGGAGATTCTTCGGACAGTCCCTCTGCTATGGACGACAATTCGCGATCTAATATAACTTCGAATGGCTTGGGCTGGCGAGTACTCCTGACAAAGGGGTCGTCATAAGACCAGGAGACGGTAAAGGTATCCCCGTTGAACATGCACATCCGTTCCATTTCCATCCAAATATTATATTCCCAAGACACATTCGTGGGTTTGGACGTATCATTTTCTACCGTTGTCCCCAGTTCTTTTGAAAATCTTCGTAGCCATTTCGCTCGCATTTCTCCTCTTTCTCGTTCTAGTTCCCGCCATGTTTCTTCTTCCTTGATACACTTCTGGAGAGTTGATGGCTGCTTGAAGATAGTAGCGACAGCATGCTTAAGAAGGCTGTCATCCGCACCACCATTAGTTGTAGCACGTCTCTTAACACGGCTCGCCTGCTCAAGCCATGCTGGAGTAAGGATGTAAGGATTTTCCCAAGATGCCTTCCACAAGGCCCTCATAGAGGAGCACAAGGCACGACAGCGGCTTGGCAGTCCCTCCTTTGGCTCAAGTAACTTAATCGAAGTTTGCGTTTCGTCAGGGGCGAAGAGGGCTTGAAGATATCGAATCATGACCGTTGAGCAGTCGAATCTCAGTGTAAGGTTTTTATTGTTCCTTGTCTTATAACAAGGCCCCCCTTTGAACGGCTCTCGACTCATTGATAACTGCCCGTTCGTCCCGGGGTGAAAAGTGGCAACTAAACGGTCAGATAGTGTAGAGTCGGAACTCATATTCATTACGCCTCCCAGCAGGTCCTCTTCAATCTTATCATTTTCAGGCCTAACGACTAATTCGCCAAAACTAAGATCAACCCGTGCAAAGCTTTTTTTAAGCTCTTTTGGAGCAGGGCAATCATAATACCGGAAGAGGTTGATAATATGGCACAGGACGCTTCCCTCCACCTCTAGGCTTGGCCGTGATCGTCCAAACCTGAGGAGGCGTGTTAGATATACTATAATAGCAAAAATACCATTACGAAATCATGTTTTATACGTTCGATATTAGACAAAAGACTTGACCAATCATATTCAGGTGTGTAATGTATCTATGCCTTGTTCGCAAAAAGGAAATAACATATCTAAGTCTATATATATGATATGAAATCAAACCCAAAGGCATGGCATACAATATCCAAACCGTTTCCGTTCGCCCCGCCTTTTGGGCTCGTGCTCGGCATCGTGAGTGTTCGAAGTTGATCCCTTTACGGGGGAGCAAGCCAGCATCCACCTTAGATACCATATTAAGCAAGCTGTGGCACAAGCGAGGTTAGGTTCGATTCCTACCAGCGCTCTCTTCATCTATATACATGTACGTATGCACCTTAGGTACTTGTCTGACAACATGTCCATGCATACATGAGCTCACCACCTAACAACCTTCTGCGGGAAAAACTCATCGATAAGCTCCGAATAATACGGCTTCAGCTCCTCTACATCCGGAACCTTATCACTCTTGCTGTATAAGTCATACGGATTAAACGCTCGCACGGCACGCAGCATATCCTCGTCATGCTCGTCCATCAGCTCGCGGTATGCACCCTCCTATAACGAATTAGTCGACACTCTAGAAGGAAGACGCGGAAACAAGACAAGGGAGCAGCATACCTTATGCCAAGGATAAAATGAATGATACCGAATCATAGCCAGCGCCTCAGGCGGCAGCGTCGACTGGTCCTTGACTACATGGTATAAATACTCGTCATGGCCCCACGACAGCATCACGTTATCTAGTCCGCAGCCGGGCGAGTAGATGCCGAACTTGGTGCTATAGACCGGATCTCGAGAGTCTGGGTTTGCGGCGAATGTGTCGGGGTATATGATGCGGTTGTCGAAGGCGCAACCGACGGGGAACGTGTCGCCAACGACGTCCCATTGGCCTTCGGAGCCGTAGAAGTAGAGTAGCTTGCCAAGGTCGTGGATTAATCCGGTGACCTGCATCCAGCGTGGCTTGCCGTCCCTCCGGATTGCTTCAGCTGACTGTAGTAGGTGTTGGATCTGCGATAGACTTGTGTCCGGGTCCGACTCGTCGATCAGTGTGTTAAGTTTCTCGATTGCTTGCCACACCGTCATCTCCTCGCGTCGCCGCGTCTTGAAGGTGATACGTGCTTTCAGGTTATACGCCACTGTCTGCTTTGCATGCTGCTCCCGATAGAAGTTCTGCACGCGATCGCAGGCTTCTTCATACTGCCTAAACTGCGTCTTGTCTTTGGCTGAGTCAAATTGGGACTTGTCGTCGAACTTGGCCTGATTTTGGCCCTTTAGCACATTAACCGCGTCGATGTGATCTGACGTCTCCTCGAGCTCGAGGCCGTTCCGGCTTATAGTGTCGTCGGCTAATATGCCTGGTGCCATTGTGTTGTGGTAGGGGGTATATAAGATTCAATAGCAAAAAAGGGGGTATCTCTTAGACTATAGAAAAGTGATTAAAAACAAAAAATACTATGCGCTTTAAGCAGAAATCCTTAACTTGTCCTTAGACATCATCGTCCTCGACTAAATTTTATACTCTGAGCTTCGTGTAAGTGGTAAATGTCCCCACATAAGGTTGATGTATGGTCCGTGATGAATGAGGAGAAAATCGCCGAATACAGCTATATTGAGCTGACTAGCGCAACGATCTCCCGAGCGGAAATCAGGTACGCCTCCCTTGCGGAACGAGATCCGCGAAGCAACTACCCCTTCTTTTGCGAAAACGGTAAAATCGCCCGAACCCCAGATGTAAGTTAATCTCATCCACTGGTCTGCTTTTTTCGCGCTCATATGCATTAAGGGATCCGGAGTACCCCAGAAACAGCAACGTTATTCGAATGTCACCTGGTATCTATATCCATAATCCCCAGTATATCCCCACGTTAAATAGCGTGGCATATAGGCCTGGCCAAGTTCAGTAATCCGGGGCGATCATAAGCGCTCTTCAGTCCACTTTGTAACCCCTTCGGCTTCTCGTGTACCATGTCTTCGCTTTGATAAAGGACTAATTGAAGTTAATATTTGTTTCATTCGTCGTTTTCTGGTAACCAGCCCCACGCTTTCATCAGTTGCTGTTGTATTGACGCAGTCGGACGAGCGTGATCTGCCTCCGTCTTCCTTAGGATATCCATTAGAGCTTCCTGGTCGGACTGTTCACCGAATTGATCGCCAACTGCATTTCGTATTAGCTCGGCGTTATTACTAGCGAACTGGGGTTGTTCGTACACATAGCGATACCCATGCAAGCAGTAAACATGCCCGGTGGAGTCCACTGATTGCATACCCCGATACCACAGAGCTCCCTTACGAGGTTCTCAATCCGATGCTGTCTTTGCATAAGCCATATGTAGGAACCTTTCTTAATAGTACAGACTTACTGTCATTTGCTTCACTGCTGCTCGGCGGTTTGTGCCTACTTTGGGTATCGAAGGATCAAACTGAGTCAAGAACAGCTGTGCGAGGATATGATGTTGAATTCCAATGACTAAGGAGTTAGCGACTATATTGTGCCTATAGCATTTAGCAAGATTTCAACGCTTACCATGACAACCTGAACCATGCCAAATTTCCGGGAAAGCCGAGGTTGCCGTACGTTCCCTGTAAAAGAAGGGGTTGAAGGACGGGGGTCGAGTGCTAGACCACTTTCTGCATGCCTCATCTAGGGCACTCCAATGGCCTGCTGCCAACGAGTTATTCCCGAAGCATAGATTGAGGACGTCCGCAAGAAGCACAATCGCCCGATTTGACCAAGTATAGTCGTCGGCCGGTTCAAATAACCGGTCCACCACGAAGTGGTCTAAAGACACCTTGACAGGCTGTTGCGTAATGACCGCAATATAGATCTCCTGTCGGAGTCCTACCCAGAATGAAGCTGCACTTAGACTTCCCGGACCCATGTATTGGTCGCCGACATTAACGAAGGCATGAATACCTAGTAGATGGCTGTAGGTGTCTTGGCCTGTTGTGGGAACTGTCCGTTTATTAGCAAGCAGCTTCCGGGGTACCCCGAACGCATCTTATCTCACCATCCATTTCTTCAAGCATACGCAAGATAATCGTTGCTGCGAATAAGTTCTCATCTGACACCGTCGAGGCGTGATTTAGCATTGGGATGAGGTATCTTAGGCACTCATCGTGATACCTGTTCGAAGCCAGCGGGTCAAAATCTGTCGTATGGCTTAGATGTCTCGCAGCTATGGCAAAGATGGCATTCAAGAGCATATAGCATTCGGCAGCACGCTCTGGGACGACCAACTCGAAATGCCGATGTGGATCACACAAGTCCAACTGCTTTAGTTAGAAGTTTGAATTTTGGGAGTGGCTACTGTATCGTTTGGCTTACACAAATCGCTAGTTTCTGGATATAGTGACGAAATAACAGTGCTTCTGTCCGGTCCTTAAGCGGCAGGCTTGAAGCATTGTGAAAATTAGGCGTTAGAATACCCCTATCATGAGGTACGCGCGTGTTCTCTATATCTGAAGACGACAAATCATAGGAACTAGCAGATTTAGACCCTGGAATATGTCCATGAGAGTGAAGCTCAGCGGCGGATGTATCATTAGCTGGAAACCCTCCATTGTTTCTCGGTGTATTCTGTGCTTGAACAACATCTACCGGCTGGCCATCTGCCCTGTTGTACTCTGTTGAATTAGGAATGGCTGGAGGTGTGACGCTCGAGGCAGTCGATTCCTGCTGCCAATTATGACTTTCGCCTGTATGAAACTCGTATGGAGAAATATCCTCTGAGGGGCTTCCTATGGTCAGACCTTGTCTCTCATCGACGTAAATTACTTGTATAAGTTAACCATACAGATATACTCTAATTCGATGTGACACTCCAAACTTACACTTTTTCGGCGGCTTGAGCCATTTTTGGTTTCTTTTGAACGTGTCTATAAGAATGAGGTTTAGCTTAGAAAGAATGGAGATTTAACTGCAGTACCTTTACTAGGTTTGAATTTGAAGCCTAGTTTGCATTCGCGACCTGCTCGGACACAGCGACCACATCTTGGAACCGAGCGATCGCCTACTCGTTCGAAACGATTAGTTTAGCCGTCTTGGAGATATAACAAGTAGCTCGAAGATTACTCGCATTTAAGATGATATTCACGGCATGTGACACTATTCGCCAAGTCTATGTCAGCAATTGTCCAACACCAAGATGAGATATAAGTGGATAAGCACGAAATCTAGTTCGCTAAGAGAGCACACCGGTCTCGGCGTAGCCTGAGCGCATCTTACGGAGTAGACAGATAGGGATATCGTACCATGGTGTAGCGAGCAACTCGATCTGCTCTGATGAGGGCATTCGCAACGTCGTTGCTTCTACAGCCTTCTATGTTTACTCGGTATAATTTAGTCAATGTTACCGACAGATAGACTCAGGGGTCCTAATTGTGAGAGGATCATCTGATAAAGATGGGCAAAACCGCCGAGCAGGAGACGTGGATGGTCTACCTAAAGTAGTACAGAGTGACCCGGTTCATGGGACGCCGAAGCTCAGACCCAATTGGCCGGCTAGGCATTTTCCCATTGGACCGTCTCCCGAATAACGGACCTGAACGGGGCCCACGAGGTCTTGTTCGTGCAACGCGCCAGTATGAGGTACCTAACATAGTTGGTATGTGTGGATAGGCGGATGGAGTCGTGATACTTCCCTGGCCCTGCATACACAGCAGGTCAAAGCTACCTAGGTAAGCTAGCTGACTATTACGTTAAAGCAGTTTGGCCAATTGACTAGAAATTGACTAGACCGGTCAGGGGTGTTCGGTTAGGATTCCAGGATTCCAGAATTCCAAGTGCTTCTTCCCCGCAACTTTCTCTCCACCGTTAGGAACGGATCGAAAAGAAAAATGCGACTAGACTAAACCGCTTATGGAGTATAGCGAGCTGCCTCGGTATTCCTAGCGCGTTACTTTCCAGACTATTATTAAAGTTAAGTAGATGGACAGGTTAGAATATTCCTTTGTTTATATTTCCCCAGATAAAAAGAGTCGTCAAAGTCAAATTAAGACGACGGCACCGTCCGCACTGTCTCGTAGCATATTATCTTGCTGATAGGCCAAAGTCCCAACTCATCTTGGCAGCAATCCTACCTGCGGTGGAAGTCTAAAAGCTCGTACATCGCAGCTATGGCCTCAAGCTCAACGAAAAGCGTTAGCGACGATGTCGTCGAAACGGCCCCGATGCCGGCTGTGACGCCAAAGGAAGGGCACGAGACCATGAGCGACGTGATCCGGAATGCGAGGCTCGCTACCGAAAAGGAGCACAACATGACCCTATGGCAGGGCCTTCGACTTTACCCCAAAGCGATTGCGTGGTCTGTCCTCATCTCGACTTGCATCGTTATGGAAGGCTACGATATCTCCCTGGTCAATAACTTCTACGCCTTCCCTCAGTTTAACGAGAAGTACGGTACCGCGGTGACCGATCCAGAGGGCAACACCTCCTATCAAGTTTCGGCAGCATGGCAGGCAGGGCTAAGCAACGGTGCAGTAGTGGTGAGTTAGATCCTGACGCGCCTCAGTGCGTTCGAAGTTAAAATTGTCTACCCCTTTTCTGAGTCTAAATCTATGACGGGTCATTAGCTACCAATGGCGGCGTTTGTATTTTCATCGAGGGTCTCACAGGATAAACCGTGATGAAATCCTCCTCGTTAGTTTGGTGATTGATGATTATTTTAACACCGACTTTTGCAGGGTGAAATCATTGGCCTGTTGATAAACGGCTGGGTCTCTGAGAGGTTCGGATACCGGTATACCGTCATATTCTGCCTCGTTCTCATCATCGCTTTTACCGCAATCTTCTTCACGGCACAGACGGTTGTACACCTTCAAGTAGCTGAGATCTTGTGCGGCATTCCATGGGGCGTTTTTCAAACCTTGACTATCACATATGCCTCTGAAGTTTGCCCGGTAGCCCTGCGGGGTTATCTAACAACTTACATCAACTTTTGTTGGGGTATCGGCCAGATGATCGGTATTGGTGTCATCATGGGTAACCTCTGGCGTACCGACGAGTGGGCGTATCGTATAGTAAGACCGCCCTCGACTTTATTCTCTGGTAGAAAGCTCTAACAGACATGGATAGCCTTATGCGCTTCAATGGATGTGGCCGTTGCCTCTCATAATTGGAATCTCTTTCGCACCCGAATCCCCTTGGTGGCTTGTACGAAAGGGGAAACTTGAAGACGCCAAGCACTCTCTTCTCCGCTTAACTAGTCTGGATAGGGAGACAGACTTTGATGTGGACGAGACGGTTGCGATGATGGTCCATACAACAGCATTAGAACAGAAGGTCGTATTCTTTCTCTCGTGCTTTCGTAATTGTCGTTAACCTTCATGCGTAGATAACCAAGGGAGCCAGCTATCTAGATTGTTTCAAGGGAGTCGATAGACGTCGCACAGAGGTACGTCTGAAGTCCCCATGCTTGTATCCGCCCTCGTGATGCTAACTGAGATAGATTGTGTGTATGTGCTGGGCGATCCAGAACCTGAGCGGCAATTCATTTTCCAACTACTCGACGTACTTCCTGCAGCAAGCTGGTCTCGACAATGACAAGGCATACTCATTCGCCATGGGTCAATACGCCATCAACTGCGCTGGTGTCTTCGGAGCCTGGACGCTTATCACCTTTGGAATCGGACGAAGGTAAGGTGAAATGCCATGTATTGATTATCCGAGATGTTAATATCGTGTGAAGGACGTTATACCTATATGGCCTTGCTGGTCTCTTCATCATGCTTTTGATCCTCGGTTTCCTCGGCCTGGCTCCCGATAGAGATGCCGCCTCGCTTGCGACAGGCAGTATCATGCTCGCGTGGGCTCTGTGTTACCAACTAACAGTCGGCACCGTATGCTATTCTCTCGTTGCAGAGATTTCAACGAGACGTCTTCAGATCAAGACAGTGGTGCTCGGACGTATCCTCTAGTAAGACTGTTCTATTTGGGCAGATTAGTTAAGATCCGATGCTAATAGATCGCAGCAACATTGTCGGCATCATCTGTGGCGTTTTGACACCGTACATGTTAAACCCTTCGGCTTGGGACTGGGGTAACTATGCCGGCTTTTTTTGGGTAAGTAATCCCTCGCGTAAACGATGGTTTTTGTTTCTACTTATTGATGATATCTAGGCGGGGTCATGCTTCCTCTGCTTTGTTTACTCTTACTTCCGCGTACCCGAACCGGCCGGCCGCACATTTGCAGAGCTTGATCTATTATTTGAGAAGAAGGTTAGCGCAAGGAAGTTTGCTTCGACCAATGTGGACGTATTTGCAGAGCATGTCGAGGGAGCTGTATTGAGCAGTTATCACGACCAGATCGCTATTTCGAGTATGAAGATCAAGGTTTAATGTAATGATGAGCAAGCCACGATATAAGGGTGGCGGAATGACCAAGCTAGGAGCATTGAAAGTCGACATGAGGCAACTTGTACGTGAAGACTGAGTGTGTAATTTTTTGAATGGCGCTGTGGTGTACGAAATGGTGTATATACCTAAGCTTATCTTTCTTGAATCAACTAATTTATTCTGTATCAGAAGATGTTTGAGCACCAGGTTGTAGACTCGGCGAGGTTGAGAAATGATAGATGTAAGCTTCGTACGATGGTCCAATAATCCAGGGGGTAGATAACCAGGAGCCGTGGTAAGTTATAGCTCATCCTATTGGTCGCGCGGAACTGATGCTTTTCGTCGTACCATATCCGAACTACGGTTGGTTGGTTCGTTATGAGCCTAAGACTTATACGAGGAGATTTTCAAAGGTCATACTGTGCATTAGAAAGTCAATGCGATGGTCAATGTTAGCTATGCCTTTAAGTTAACATCGACCGTGTTGTCCTGAAAAATAGATTCAAATTTAATATATTAATATATTGTTACGGCTGGTAGAGTAGCATGTTGCCTCGTAGGGCTAGTTCCTAGGACTTAGTTGAAGAGGAGAGTGTTGGCATTGATAGCAAGAATGTTGAAACTAAGCTCTTCGCCTATTAATCCTTATGTTAGTAGAAATGCAATCTGCCTCGGACCATATTACTCCCAGCAACTAAGTTCGTCTTCCTATCACGCACCTAATAAGCATACCATTTCGCGAAATGTCATGCCCCTAAATTTAGGTAAAGCCAGACCAGACGGGACATAGTGACCGCCGTAGGAGACCGTAGTGCTATCCGACGAGGAGTAGACTTGGATTGCGATGAGATACAAGCATTACACTACCGATCTGGTAACGATTTGGCTTGTATTTCGTCTGTAGTGTCTCGAACAGTCTGGCCCTTCTTATACTCTTCCTCCAATGCCCTTTGCATGTCGAAATCAAGCTGGCGCTCCTTCTTGATCCGCTGCTGCTCCATGTCGCGCACAACACCCTGATGCATGGCCTAGAAATGCGTGGTAAGCCTATATCTAGTACGTACCACGCGATGATTTCTATACCTCTTTCTCAACCTTCTGCTGGAAGTGCACCATGATAACTGTACCAACAGCAAAGAGCGAGGTGCTCGCTAGGGTGAGTTTCGAGGCGCGCGACATATTTGCCGAACACGAGTTGATAAGCTGGACAGGTTTGATTTGAGTCTCGCTATAAAACCATCCCAGTCTTCCTTTCCAATGCTAGTACGGGAGCACTTGACGGTGTAGAATTAACTTCAATTGTCGAACTTGGAGGTGAAAAGTTCCGGAGAGTTGGAAGCTTAAGTGATGCTAGAGAGTAAATCTATTATCGATAACGAGTAGTCACCAGACTGCCCGTACTGTACTGTGTGTGTACCGTATGTGGAGAGATGAAAAAAACGGAGTCGCATATAAAACGGTTCTTTTCATAATCATTCATACTACAGGTTACAATTCCATATGCTCTCCTACATGTACTCTATCTTCATTTCATTTAAAATACGTTCTTAATTAATGTACCTTTACCTATTGAATTAGCCCAAAAGATACCTACCTAACGTAGGTCAACACTTTCTAACTGATGTAATTCTATGAAACTTCCGCCCTGGTCCCTGTCATCATGATGCAAACAACAAGCGAGAAAATGGATGCACGAAATATGAGCCTTGCTTTAACTAAGCTTACTTTACTTTCGTATTGCCAATCGACCGAATCTCTAGAAGTTCGGGAAAGGCGCACCCTAGAAGTTTGCCGACAACGAGGGAATGAAAAAGGGGTAAAGACGCGGGCTCTAGTGTTTCGTCTATTGGATGCCATCAGGACCAATGTTGTAGGATTGTTCAATGTTATTCCAGGAGCCCATTATTTCTTGAAAGTATCTGCATGCAGGTCAATAAAAGCAATGTTCCTTAGTCTTAATTCCCTTAGTTAGGATCCCGGAAAGATGAAGAACAAAGACACTTGACATGTGACAGGAAGCAAGCCTCTAGATTAATTTACACACGAGTTCTGAAGCGCAGGCCGCTTAATGTACAGTGACCGAGTAGATGGGACATATGACGATGCAGACTACTCGACGACTTCTCTCGGCTCCCAAATAACCTCAAATAACCTCAAACACCATGTCGAGTACCAATACTACAGGCTCTGGTACTTCCTTTGCCAGGAAGTACAATTCTCTTTCAATCCTGGATGAAGTTGAGGACGTCGAGTGGTACCAGCCGGGCGGATTTTACCCATTGGATGTAGGCGAGACGATAATCGACAGGTTCAAGGTTATTCACAAACTTGGGCACGGTGGCATTGCTACAGTTTGGTTTTGCTGGGACCTACAAGAAGAGAAATGGATAGCGCTTAAAATTAATTCGGCAAGCCATTCATCAGACGACTGCTCGGATTTAAAGGCGATTCGCATGATTGAAGCTCAGTCCCAAGGAATTGACGAGCTCAACGATAATAACATCATGATAGCCATGCAGACCTTCTTTATAGAGTCTCCTAATGGGCGGCACCTATGCTCCGTATTACCTGTTGCTGGGCCAAGGTTCACGGACTGGGAGGATAAAATAGGAGAAGACTTTGACCGACGGAAGAAAATCAGCTACCAACTTACCAAGGCGCTTGCTTTCTTGCACGGCAAAAGAATTTGCCATGGCGACTTTAGGCCTGATAACATATTAATGAGGTTGCAACCTTGTTACCTTGACCAGATCGGGTATGATGAGATGCAAGCTCTGATAGGGGAAGCAATTGGGGAACAACTCCTGGATGGCGACGAGCGAAGCCCCCACGCTCCCAAGTATGCATATCTACCATTTAGTTTCAGAAACGGAAATCTTTCGCACATGATATCGGATGACATCGCCATCGTCGACTTCGGCGAATCTTACGAAACCCATAGCCCTCCTGAGAGATTAAACATTCCACCTAAGTATGCAGGTCCTGAATGGCTCTTCGGTCGTCAGACAGGCATAGGAAATGACATTTGGTCTCTGGCCTATACACTACTAGAAGTTCAAATTGGTCCCCTCCCTGGCGACCTGTGGAATATCATTAGGCGCATGGAGCGGTACATAGGGCCCGTCCCATCTGTCTACGGCCCGACTGCTGTAAAGATGCTACACGACGAAACAAGTGATCCGGATGAACCACCACCAGATTATGAAAAGGATGAAGCAGTTACTGGATCATTAACTGAGCCGCTCAACTTACAAGAGAAGTTTGAAGCAACTCACACCGAATTCAGTAACCCTATACATATTGCGCTAGGATTAGCATATATGCCAAGGGATGAGATCCCTATTTTTAGCGATCTTCTCGAGAAACTCTTCATATACGACCCAGAGGAGAGGCCGGAGGCATCTCAAGTACTAGAACACGAATGGTTTAAAGCTCATCAATCCGAAGACGATGCGGCCACCGATGAAACGCTACCGATTATGAGTCTCTTCGACGAGTCGGAAGAGAATAAAATGGTCCCAGAAAAGGTCTCGGAATCGTTAAACGCAGAGATTACTGCGCCGCCCATGATGGTGACAGAAGTACGAACCATTCAAATCACGGAAAAGTGTCCTTGGTATCACTTTGTAGCTACTTGGGTGGTTCCAGTATTGGGGCTGTTATGCGTGTATTTATTCTACATTTGCATGTGCTTACGGGTCGATGTGAGAATACTTAAGGCGGCCCAGCTGAAAATATGAATGTAGTATACCTAATGTAGTAATATTTTAAAATTTCAAATTTCAAGTTTTATACCATAGCTGTATATTCCTGTATTACCTCGTAAAGACCTTCGCTTTAGCATCGTGACAAACGCAAAGCTTATATTAATATAGATACCCTTAACCCCGCGTAGCCTGTATGGAGAAATGAGTCAATACTCTCACAACATAATGCCCTCACAGTATCAAATGTTATTTAAGCAGATGTAATTCGTCAGGGGATGCGAGGCAAGTCAGCGAGGGGTTCTAAGAAGTTTCCGAAAGCAAACCAAGTTCAAAGAACAAGTATTACAAAAATAGCACCGTAGAAAGCGTTAGGTTCTTTATTAGAAATAAGCAGTAGAGATCCTTTTGGAAGATTTGGGTGTATAATCGGCACCCATGTAATTCCTAGTGTGTACCTACCTCTCCTCTCCTCTTACATTGGACACTTCGACACCATGCCAAAAATAACCCCCTATGGACAGGTTGGGGATGCTCAATCAGAATGGCATCCTGACATGGCCATCCCAAGAGGCGCCCCATTGCCTAAAGATACCGAGGATAAAAGCGCAACTGTATTTATCAAGCCAGAACCAAGTATCGGGTGCGGGACGTTACAATGCCCAAAGGTTCGAGAGCAGTGCTTAACCCATCTAATTAGCATACATCTAATCAAATGCGTATTCACTTAGGTCTATTGGGAAAAGAAGGTAGTCTATGACCAGTTGGTCAGAAAGCAGCAAGATGTTTTACAGTCGAGTGAGAGCTTCGCTCAAGAAGCCGCGAGAAATTTAGGATTCTCACATATTATTATCCGGTAATGCCCACGTGCCTTAAATTGAACGTATTCCATGCTGACGTTGACCAGTAAGGAACTCCATGACGCTGCCAACACTTACGCCCAGGCTGGTAGAGGCCAGACAAGGCGTACGAAGACGGGAATTGAGCCTGATCAAATCCATCTAACGGTATATCTTGCGAATCAACCAAATTGGGTCTCTGTGCACGGGCATATCTACGGCGTCGTACGAGAGACGACATATAAGTTGATGAGTGAAAGGAAGAGTAGATACGTTAAGAAGATACCGGAATACACGGAGTATGTAATGATGCCGAATAATCAACGATGGATGGCAAAAGAGCGCCCAGATCAGCATCGCCGTAATCCTGAGCTCTGGGAATGGTTTGAGTATATATCTTAGGTACCTAAGAACCTGCGAATAAAATATTGATGTGGTAGGCGTATTATAGTAATAGCTGTGCCTTGTTAATTACCTACATGTAGTTAGATAAAATATTCCCTCGAATCTCAAGTTATAACCTTGGCTCAATAATCGAAGAAAAAGGGGTGATACGTTAATGATAAAACGTGCTAAACGGAAGCTTGAGCGTAATAGATGCAACCATCCATTCCGTATAACGTGGATAAATTAATATGCGTGCAATATGCAATATCGGTTTAAAACGGCGCGAAGCAGGGTACGTACCATGTACCTAAGCTCCAACTAGAGGTTGCTTCAGCCCCATCTGACCCCAGCCCAGCACCAGCCTTGCCAGTGAACCTTAGGTTGTCATTGATTCGCCTGCCGAGCTCCTACTCTACGTACCTAGCTACCTACCTACCATTTCGACATACTTCCTAACCTATCACGACTAATCTTCGCTACAGCATCATACGTCAGTTACCAAACCAGTAAACCACCAACAAATCATCCTGCGTTCCCTTTTCTTCTGAGTCGACTTGCAAGTAAATCAGATCTCCGCAGCTTAGCAGGATGGTATGCTCGATCCAACCAAACCTATACAAAGAAGACAGTAGTTACAGCTAGCTAACCATGCTATCTCTCGAATATAGTCGGCCCAGAACTCGACAGGCATTCAAACCCTCCTCGATGTACGCAGACCCCCCCAGGCCATCGCAATGACCAAACCACATAGCCGAATCCAATGTAGCAAGTCCAGCTAACAGGTAGCTCGCCGCGATCGCATAGGCCGAGAGGGAAGCTTCCAAAATCGTTCAGAAAGCCCGCGAATGTCAGTACCACCGCATATTCTCTACATCTGCCGATACACAAAGACCAGGCAATTCGACACGTGAACCAACACTAACACATCAACCTATAGTCCGAACCAAGAGAGTACGAGAGGCGCGAGACGAAGCCAAGAAAGAAGTAGAAGCGTACCGCCGAGCGAAGGAAGAGGAATTTAAGAGATTCGAGGCCGAGGTACGCACATACAATAACATATAACATACCTTATACAGCTCAAATCCAGCCCCTCAATCGATACAAATCCGGGTTACTAATTCAACCCCCTACTACAGCACACCCAAGGCAACAAGCAGGCCGAAGACGAAGCCAACCGCGAAGCCGATGCCAAGATCAAGGAAATCCAAGCCGCCGGCCAGAAGAGCCAGGACAAGGTCGTCGAGGACCTGCTGAAGGCCGTGTTCGACGTCAAGCCCGTGCCCCCTGAGAGGTCGTAGGTTAGTCCAGACTAGCCAGAGCTGCTTAGTCTACGGGGAGAAGCGAATCCGAAAGAAATACTATGCGGAGAAAGGGATCGACATGTCACACCGTGGATTCTGGTTGCTGGAAGACTGAGGCTATGGTGTGTAGTTGCGCGCATTATATTACACGTTACCGGTGTTTTTGGAAGGGAAGAAAGCCGAAATAAAGATAGGTCGGTATTACTGATTGCAAGGGGCCTGTCTGTCTGTTCATAGAAGAGATATTTGAGGGATGCCGCGCTGAGAAGCCGGCACGATACGCATTATTCATTGATTACTACTATACTATTACATGCTACCAGTCCGCTCGTACTATTGTAGGAATTCCACTAGGGTTGTAAGCATTTCTCTAGTATCCTTGCCCTCTGCATCATCCGCGTCGATGCCTTCAATCTGTTCTTGTAGCGTAGCTTTAATTGTAGCCAACGTTTCGTCTCGGTCGGCGAGTAACCTCTGTATTGTCTTCCTCGCGCCGTTGTCTTCCGCCACCAGCCACGCCAGCACTACGTCCAGCGTCTGCAGGCAAAATAAGCCAGCGTCGAGCCGCCGCGAGAACCACTCGTCTGCCATTTCTTCTTTTTCTTCGGCGCTCATCCCACTCTGTTCCGCGCGGATCGCCTCGTCCACGGAATCTAGGCGCGCCGCGTACTCCCTCCTCAGTTTAACCAGTTTCTCCGTCTTCTCGTAGTCTTTCTCAACGAATTTTGCTAGGGTCCGGATTCGCTCTGCCGAGTCGGCTGGCAACAGCCGCAGCATGGATCCAAATATGCCGATTAGGTGTTCCGTAGTCTGGCTGTCGTTACTCTTTTTCATAAATAGTGTGAAAATGTTCTTTAATCCACCCGCCTCTACAACTTTTTGGCATACACCAGTTCCCGCCGCACCGTGGCCCCCTACGGCATGATCCAGGAGCCGGAGCGCGGCAGATTTACTCATCTTACCCTCTTTCAACATGATCAAGCAAAGCTCGACACCTTCCGCCTCGACGAATTTGGTCTTGCCCTCGGGCTCGTCCACGAGACAGGTCAAAGCCTCGAACAAGTTCTCCATATACTCTTCTTCCTCGCCGCCCTTTTCGGGGTCACGTTTTCGATAAGATGCTACAAGCTGTAGCATGATGTCCACGGCATCCAAACTGGCCAATTTCCTCCTGTTCTTCGACGATGTCTGGACTAATATTGCTAAAACCTCGGCAGCATACTGCTTGTTCTGACTGACGGTGGCCTCCTTGGCCTGTATACGGCGAAGTAGCCACCTCAGCAGGCTGTCGTTTTCCGTAACTTGTTCTGCCGTCGCCGTTCGTCCGCTGCATAGGTTTTCCACTACACTGAGCGCATAGTAGACGCCGCTCCGATCAACCTCCTGCTCCTCATCTAGCCTCTCGAAGTTCGACACGAGCAGCCCCAGCAAATCAGCCTCCAGCAGGGCATCGACCAGTGCATTCCATTGATCGTCCTCGGCCGCGATATCTTCGTCAGTCAGTTCGTTAATAATCTCCATAGCGTCTATCGCAATATCGGTATTCTCATGTGCGAGTAACCCTACAAGGCTCGCGACGCTTCCAATCTTAGCGAACTCGGGATATAGCTCCGGGTGCTCAGAAAGGATGGAGAGGGCCTTTATGTCGGCGTCGAGGTCGGCTTCGCTCGAAATAAACTTTTGAGGCTCATCCTCGAACTTTGCGCGCAGCTCGGCGTTCTTGTTTATTCGCTTTTCGAAATTAAGGGCAGTTCGTCGTAGCCACGCGCTGTCGAACTTGTCGGGTGCTGTGTCCGCGCTGGGATCGGGGTCATCGACGTAGTCTAATACTTCGTTCTCTTGCGCCGTGATTCCACCACCAAAGAATCGCCCTTCCTCATCATCGTCGGGTGGGAGATCCGGTCCGTAGTCACCTTCCTCGTCTTCTGGAGGGGGCGAAGGTCCTGCTTCGACGTCATCTTCGTTATCGTTTACACTCTCGTCCTCGACGCGCGCGTGTCGGCTGCTGTTACCATTCGAATTTAAACGGGCAGATTTATAGATTTGATCTGCATATTGCTACACGTTAGCTAATAAGACTTGTAGATGGGTAGGAAGAAAAGAGGGCAAATCATACTGGGATCTCGAAGAGGTTCTAGCTTGCGCTTGCTACCGACGCCAGATGCCTATAACATAGTGTTAGTTGAATTTGGAAAAGTAGAACTAGGGCAAAGATATCAACTAACCTTGAATAGCTCATCTATGCTAGTCATTGTGTAGCAGGTTCATAAAGTGGTTGATGTAGGCGTGTCGCGAAGGAGATAGCTTATTTATTAGGAAATAGTAGTTGTAAGTTGGAACATTAAAAAATGTACGGTAGAGCTCCAATTGACTTCTAAAAGCTTAGACAGTGCGCGTTACATAGCTCTTACCGGTCGGTGTACTTTCCACAACCCACCCGTACTTACATGATGCAAGGCCCATTGGACGTAACCCCACAGTACCTTCACGCACTATTTTGAAGGTACGTACTGTAGAGATTGTAGACATCGGCTATATTTTATATTTTAGTAACAGCATTTTAGTAAGAGCAACTTTGGCTTATGAGTCAATCTAACAATAAGCAACATTGAATCTTGAAATAACAAAGTAAAGTTCAAGCTTCATTTATCCTTACCCGTTCTCCAAGTATTTGCCTAGCGGTTGTTACTCGTCGTACTGCCTGTGTTTGGATAGAAATATCGTATACTTCGTACTTCGTTCATATTTGCTATTGGCCTTCAATATCTTACCAAAAACTAGACACGAGATAGATCTCACCTAAATTCAAAGACACATCATAGACCAAACGTTTATCTCATTTAGAATGCCTCCAACGCTCATACTGGTCCGCCACGCTCAAGCTCGCCATAATGCAGAAAGTTAGTTTATTACGATGCGAGTTCGGGCTATGAGCTTCAAGGTCTTGGTTCTGACTTCACCCAGAAAACTCTACAATACCTGATCCGGACTTGACTGAGGAGGGACATGGGCAATGTGTAGACTTACGGAAGAGTCTCATAGAAAACCCACTAGCTCAGCAGGCCGAACTCATCGTGGTCTCTCCCTTACGCAGGACGATGCAGACAGCATTACGATCCGTCGACTGGCTTATTGAGAAGGGTGTCAAGATAGAAGCCGATGCGGATTGGCAAGGTATAATTTCAAAAGTTCTCTCATCAGAACCATACATCGAGCAAACCCATTCTAAGCCGTTTCAATAGAAAATTCAAACCATGGATGCGACACCGGAAGCCCCATCGATAAACTCATAGAAGAGTTCCCCACGGTCGACTTCTCAAAGGTCGACCCGGTCTTCCCAGACAAGACGTCGCCACTAGGTAGCCGCTATCACTTCACGAAATCAGCTCTTTTAGCACGTGCTCAAGCAGCCCTGAAGAAACTATATGAACGTCCGGAAAAGGTAATCATCGTCGTCTCTCATTCAGCCTTCTTGCGACTCGCAGTCTCCGGCTATTGGTACTTTAACGCCGACTACCGCATTTTCGACTTCGCGCCTGTGAACAATCCGGGAGAATCACATCGACTCGAGCAGCACGAGTCTACCAGAGAGAAAGGCGGAGGACTCGGCCGGAGCTGGATCGACCCCATAGTGCTAGGCTCGGAGCTGCCGGGAGAAGATCCGGATGCTAAAGACAACGGAAGCGGAAACGGCCGGGGATATTGAAGGCGGCTTTTTAGATATCGGCCCCGAACGGGATATAGGATAGGACCCATGGCCGTCATAACATATAATTACCTTACCTTTGTCAAATGTTCCCTGCAGTACGGTTTCAGGTTTCAGGATAACCGCGTATAGTAGATTAAAGCGACAAAACTCATGCAACATCTAATATTCACCTTACTCCGACGCTACTTAGCTACTTAAGCGTCTAGTAAATGACCCTGGCTAATAAGCCAGACCCAAATGAAGAATCGAGGCTGTGCTAGTGGTCTCCATCTAAAGACCCCATCCTAACCTGAGGACCATCCCCATTCGTACCGATGAAACAGCGCGTTTTGTTATTTATTCATCCTACCAGCCTACAAGTTGGAAGATACAAAGTTACAGCTGATTTTACATAATTGTCCAAACAGTTGACAAGCATGCTTCCGGCTGATACTGCACAGCCTCAACTACTACGATAGCGCTTCAACTTGATTGGATCACATTCCCTCCGTTATACGAGATCCGTAGTAGGTATATATACTCGACATACCATTGGATGTCTAAAACGTCAGTCATACTACGTAGTACGTACCTAACATAGTAAGTCACTTATGTTAGGTACCTTATTACAGATCAGTGCTGAGTTGGATGCTGATAATGGGCTTCTAGATCCGCCAAGTCCCGAAACATCCATACGGGGGACCCCAACATATCCTTAAGGCTTATGTAGACCACATTTCGCTAATAGGGCTGTTTGCTGTTGGTAGACCGTGATTTTATTTTTCTCTCTTAACACCGAGGCGCACTTAGTCTTTGCTGTTGGTAAACCATAGTTGACAACCACCACCACCACCATAATCCAGTAACGGTTAGATCTCAACTTTTATTAGGTAGTTCTTGGCGACTACATATACGGATCTGACCAGAAAGGACAAAAGACAATTCTTATTAACGGTAAAGCTATCCGAATCTTTGCCGTTCGACATGTAATACGACCGTGGTACGTGCTTACATGTATAATGTCATTTGTATTTTCGATCGTACTCGTCTGAATTTCATCCTCCAACAACTGCGCTTCACGGTTCACGGGGACTGTCGATAATTCAACAGCGTCGCGCGACTCCAAGTCGCAAACATGTTGTCCGCTGCTCGCCGCCTTCAAATATTATGCCTCGCTCCGGCAGTCGTGTTAGGAGCGCTTGAAGTTGATCTAAATTCAAAAGGTAAGCATTTTTGATCTCTTCTCTTAGCAGCGCAGGGTTCTCCCCAAGACTCCCTGGCGCCGCCCGCGACGAATTCTTAATACTCAATATACTCTTAGAATCCATCAAAAATGCCGCGAAACAGGTCGCCTTTGACTTGATGACCTATTATGATGGCAACGAAACAGGTCATGTACCGGGCATCTTGCCGGGACCGCCGCCGGACGGAGACTACTACTGGTTTGCCACCCTCTTTCCCGCCGAGGGGCAATTCACTAACGGTGCGGAACCAGGTGGCAAGGAGGCGCGCTTTGGGGTGCGATGATAGACTACTGGCATTACACAGGTGACGATACGTACAACGATGTCACGTTCCAGGCAATGCAGTTCCAGGTCGGCGAAAACGAGGACTACGCGCCCCGGAATTGGTCGCTCTCACTCGGCAATGACGATCAGTCCTTTTGGGGTATGTCGGCGATGCTAGCGGCTGAAAACAAGTTCCAGGATCCTCCTAAGGACAAGCCGCAGTGGATTGCCCTCGCACAGGCTGTTTTTAACGACCAGTCCGCACCGGACCACTACGATGGCATCTGCGGCGGTGGTATGAGGTGGCAGATCGCCCCCACTAACAAGGGTTATGATTATAAAAACAGTGAGAAACCCCTATACCCAACAAAGAAGGAAAAGCATCGGCAATGGGAAGACGAGAAAAGAAGAAAGCGGAATAAGTGATAGAAGCCGGCTAACATGAACGGATAGCCATTGCCAACGGTTGCTTCTTTAACATAGCATCCCGTCTGGCCCGATACTATAGCAACGAAACCTACGCGGAGTGGGCGATCAAAACGTTCGACTGGATTCAGAACATTGGGTACATCGACAAAGATTGGAACGTATTCGATGGCGGCCACGTGCAGTACAACTGTACGGATACCAACCGCCAACAGTATTCGTATAACGCCGCCATCCTATTGTCGGGGGCGGGTTACATGTACGAATATGTAAGCAACCTCCCCCATATTCATATCCCCGAGGCGTTCTAGAAAGCAGGTGAGCAGGAAGAGGACCTAGGTAGCTAACTAGCCCGCAGACCAACGGTAGTAAATTATGGGAGGACCGGATCAACGGGCTTCTGGATGGTATGGAGCGTATATTCTTCGTAAACGGCACATTGTACGAGCCAAGTTGCGAGGGTGGTTTATGTACCTCGGACATGTTGAGTTACAAGGGATACGTACACCGATGGCTAGCCGTAACGACGCTAACAGCGCCCTTCACCCGCGAACGCATCATGAAGCTGCTCCGCTCATCCGCCGAACACGCCGTCAAGCAATGTACCGGCGGTGCCAACGGCCGGCAGTGCGGTTTCCACTGGACGACCGGCGTCTACGACGGCCAGACCGGCGCAGGCCAGCAGATGAACGTTCTCGGCGCGCTTACGAGCTTGCTCGTCGAGGACGCGAACCCGCCCGTTACTAACAGCACGGGCGGCACCAGTATCGGCAATCCCAATGCTGGAAATCCCAAGTCTTCGTTGGTTCAGGAGGACCCTGTAACGACGGGGGATAAGGCCGGCGCGGGGATATTGACTGCGTTCTTGCTTGGTACTACCATCACCGGTGTCCTGTTTATGGCATTGGATTGAACGTATTTTCGTTCGTTTCTGTTTGATTTTAGGGGCGTGTTATGTATTAATCTCATATTTTATTCGACAAATTTTGTTCTTATTTGTGCAAGAATCCCTTAAAATTTACACTTCAGTTAAGGTATACGTTTGCATTCGACCAGGTATGTCTCCTACATCAAGTATGTACACTAGCATCTCGGAAGTTAACTGTAGCATAAATACTACATTGGAACTTTCATCCTGGGTGTGAGGGCTGTTTGGCTCTTGTGATGCTTGGCCGAACTCAGCATTTTGATCACTGTGCGCTCAAGTCCGATACGTAATACAGCGGATGATGTGAATAGCAAAGACGGTAGATGCCAAAATTATGAGGGGAACAGGTGACTGACGATAGTATGGTTAGTGATATTCTTGATATACCCGCTCTCTACATTATAGTCCTTCATTGAGAATTTCACAGAAATCACTCTCTAAAGGTTTCCGGTTTGTTGCGATAAGCATCTATTAATATTTATGATTCAATGCAAACATTATATCCAACTAAACTCATACAGTCTAATAGTGACTGTCCTCAGTTAAGACCATTACTCATAGCATTGCCATACCCGCCACCAGGCCAACTGCCACGCGCATAGCACCCTTCACAGCTGCGGTCGGCATAGCCGCGGCCTCGGAAACACTGCTCGCTCCAGAAGTGCTAGCAGACTCGGCACCCTGAGAACTTCCTCCAGTTGAGCCTCCAGTTGATGCAGAAGACTCGCCGTTTGAGGCAACACCTGTGCTTGTTTCCAGTGTTGCAGTCGGTGCCGCAGTGATGGTAGCAACAGAGATTGTACCGGTTGTTGTACCAGTAATAGAAGCCGAGCTTGCTGCCGAGGTAGCTGCCGAGCCAGAAGATTCCCCGGAGGATTCCACGGAAGACTCGCTAGAAGATTCGCCAGACGCCGAGCTGGAGCTGGACGCGGACGTAGAGGCCGAGGTAGAGGCCGGGACGGAGTTCTCAGTCGAAGTAGGAGTCGCAGAGGCACCGAAACCCGGCAGAAAGCTGGGCGAATAGGTGGCGGTTCCTTGGTAGCCATCGCAGCCCGGAACGGTTGTCTTGGGTGGTGCACGCCCGCCGCCGCAGTCGAGGAACTCGCAAATCTCACCGGTGTCCGGGACGTACCAGATTAAGCTGGCACCGCCATATCTTACGGTTGCGGACGATACGCAGCCGCCTATGTCGGTCTTGGCGGCGGCCTGTCCCGCGAGCAGTGCGGCCAGGAGGACCGTGGGTGCTTTGGCGTACATGGCGTTTAAGACGGAGGAAAATACGACAAGAGTAATTACCAAGAGGTAGGATTAATTCGGACTTGGAGATGATGTGCAGTAATGTATGTAGGAACGAATGGACGGCAGTCCTTTTATTTGGGATTGCCACGAAAGGAAAGATTTGCACTTTGTAAGGAAGAGGCAAAAGAGAAAAAGGAAAAGAGAATTGAAACGGTAAAAAGATGTTGTCATTTCCTTTTAGCGCACGGCACAGTCCTGCGCCGCATACTATGTAACTTGTTTAATTTACTACCTTGTTAGGCAGCTGTTTAGGCAGCTGTTGAACTAGAGCTGTTCTTGGATAGGAGTTATTCGGCTGTCCAATGAGAAGCCTGGTAGGATGGTGAGAGCTTTGAAGATTTTAATTCAGGGGAAGTTTCAATTCATTGGCGAATAAATTCTAACTACCAACAACAGTAACTATAGAATCTTGGTATGAATCTAGTTAACTATTACATAAGGTAACTAACCCAGAGTTGATTGACAATAGAAGCTTTGTCTCTCTAAGTAGAAAAGGGGTAAGTGTGTATAAGCCTTCGTGTAATAACGGTCAAATATCCTATTACTTATAGGCTATATTATAGATAGTCATTTCTATTCAACTCTATAAGCGAACATCAGAATATAACATTATAGCATGCCAGTACTATAAGTGACATACACCGAGTTCATAGACGACGTATAAAGTGTCCCTCCGATAGAATAGTACACTTCTACGCACATTTTAGCTAAGAGGTACCTGAGTTATTATTATGGGTAGTTATAGCTACATCATAATAAAAATAGTTCTTCACCCTACCTAGGTACCTGTTTAGGCAGATTAGATCGGTAACCATTGCCACTGAACTACCTACACTACAGCAACATATCTACTGGATTACTGGATTATTAAAAAGCCCCGAGCAGGTTGGAAACCGCTGATAAATAAACCGATGGGTAATTATTTACATATCAACTAAGCAAGAGTGGGAAATCAATTATAAATCAAACTATGGGGTCCTAGACCCTGCTCTAGATCCCCGAAGCAGCCCAATCAAATATTTTCTATCCTGTTAGCACGTCACGGCATCACCACTCCGAGCAATACAATTGATACAATTGATAATTCTCCGAATGCTAAATTCAACTTCACAGGCTAGGGATATTTAGAACCCGTAGTTATCTAATAGTTGCGACCATAGCCGTCATATGTTAAATCGCCGGTCCGCTTAGAAAGCATGGAACAATAGCCCAGGTACTAGCTACCTAGGTAGCTATATATCAATGGATCTGTCTCAACTGGACTTATAAATATTCATACTTTAATAGAGTCGTATGTATTCTCACTTCTTGTTCACATCCTCTCATCATACGGACGTCTACGGGCTTAATTAAACCCACATCTCTCTTCTGCATAATCTTGCTTTCCTAGGATAATAGCAATACTAAAGACTGGAAAGCGCAGCTAATTCAAAACTCAAGATGGCACCAGGAAAGAAAGTTTTCATTGTCGGACCAGGCTTCATCGGCTGGGCCGTGCTTGATCTATTAGCAAAGGAGAACTATGAAATCACGGGGTACGTCAGGAGGAAAGAACACGCGGATCAGATCAAGGCCTCTGGGGCCACAGATACGGTGCTTGGTGACCTGAACGACAAGGCATTGATTACGAAACACGCGTTATCCCATGACATTGTGATTCACACAGCCACCGCAGACCATCTCCCAAGCGTGGAAGCTATCTTAGAAGCCGTCCAGCAGCGGGCCGAAAAGGGGCTGAGCACGATCTATATCCACACTTCCGGAACGTCCTTGTTGAACGACGGGGCAGCAGGGGCCTACAAGGGAGACAAGGTGTACCACGATAACATCGTGTCTGAGATCGACTCCGTCGCCGACAATGCGCCACATCGACAAATAGACCTTACTATTGTCAGGGTCCAAAAGAAACTAAAGGAGAAAGCCAAGATCGCCATGATGATCCCGCCCGCTATCTACGGTTATAACCCGCACCACGGACGGCTTTCAATCCAGATCCCGGTACTCACCCGGTATGCTCTTAAGCACGGGTATGCGGGATACGTAGGTGCTGGCCTCTCCGTCGAGAGCAACATCCACGTGAACGACTTGGCGAGGGGCTACGTCACGCTGCTGCACCACCTAGAGTCGACACCAGCCAGCAGCCCCGATATCCTCGAAAACCCGTACTACTTCTGCGAAACGACAGGAGACAACGAGCCGAGCTGGAAGGACATCGCCTCGCTCATCGGAACGGAACTCCACAAGGCCGGTCTCATCCCTGACTCAAAGCCGCGCACGATCCCGCCCGAGAACTACGGCGACATATTCGCGGACTTCACGCCCGCTGTCATCGGCCTTAATAGCCGTAGCCGAGCTGTGCGGCTGCGCGAGTTGGGGTGGAAGCCCCTGGAGAAGAGCTTGAGCGAGAGTTACATACAGGACGAGCTGCCGGTGATTTTGAAGGAGGACGTGGATCGCAAGGCTTTTGATGGATACCATGGGGCGGTTGCTAGTTGAGGGTTTGACTATATTGCTTGTGGCAGGTTTGGTAAAATCCTGTAATCATCTAGAACAACTAACAAATTAGAAGCCAGCCTGGATATAACGTATTTTATAAAGATTTCTATAGGTACCAGGTATATGGTATATAATTCAAGCAAGTTCACTTCCATTTGGTGATACCCTCCCGCTTCAATTCAAGACTCTTTCCCGTACTCCAACTTCGTATAAAGTCATCATCATTCACGCATAGTTGGGCACCTTTATTATGACAGCCATGATTATGGCAAATTTTATTTCTAAGGCGACGAAATGGAACAATTCGTTGTCTAGGTGTATCTATACGTACCTCCTACACATACCTACTCAAATAATGGGGTGCAGTTACCTACATCTAGCTATATACTAATATTCGTAACGGAAAATTCCCTATGTTCATGGGTGACGAAATGTAGGTGACGAACAATACATGTCACCCCGTTACAACAACACATTCGTCAACCTTACCTCTAATATCCTGAGTCACTATTATACTATTTTTTTCAGACTTCTATAAATAACCATGGTATGTTTATGCAACTCCTCTTGTCTGCTTTCGAGACAGAGTCTCTTGCCCAGTCCCAAGTCGTCGTTCTAAATACTTTCACATCTTGCGATAATACACTCTATAGTTTCTCCAGCATTCCTAAATTGATTAACTCGGTAGCTTACGAGCTGGGCCTGGCCAAAGAGAAGAACGAAGACCTTCAAAGACGAATCCAAAAACTGAATGATGAGGTCGTACAACTCAAGGCCTATAATACCTTGAACTTGAAGTTAAAAACAATTTCGTGGATCTATTATGTAGCACGAGTATGTCTGGGTAAATAATTGCTATTGTCTAGATACGATTGTCAGTGCATTATACAATAAGACATAGACTCTACACGAATTTCTTTTATAGCATCCTGTCTATGTTTTGAATGAATACCAAACTTGAACAAGGGGTAAGGAATAGACATAACAATCCTAGGGTGGGGGAACCGTCATCATTGCAATAAACATCTCAATGTAGGATATCAAATATTATATTATATAAGGTATTAATCATACAGTCATCAACTCTTTATAATGAAGTATATCTGCACCTAGAGGTATATAAGAGATTGAGTGGGTATAGCGGTATTTATACTCATAGCACCATCCTCTTCTTCGACGCCTTGCCGCCTCGGGCTGCCGCGGCATCGTAGAGAGCCTGGATATCGGCTTGCCACTGCTTCTTGTCGAGACGGAGGATACGGCGGTCGTAGGTGAGGAAGCCGTTGACTTCTCCTTCGACATCGGTGGTTTGACTGCATCGGCGTTAGTTATGGCTTGCGATATGAAAAGGTAGAAATTGAAAAGGGGATTAAACTCACGTCCACACGGCAGCTGAGCATGCGTACTTCTCGATCTGGTCGCGCAGCTCACTTAGTAGGAGATGACCACGGTAGTTATACGCGTCAAGATCCAGGTCGATCTCGTAGGTCTGGTTGATGCTGCTCACAGCGGCTTCTACCTTCCACAGGTGCTCTTCGGAGACATTGTGGCCGATTCCTCCAAATTCACCTTGGATGGCAATGCGCTGGTGGTCGTAAGGAGTGGATTCGATGGAAGAGAAAGGAGTACCACACTGAGGGTTTGCGTAGTGGTGGTTGTCGTGCCAGTCGCCGGCGCCGTGGTCGTGCCAACCAGTCGTAGCGTCGACAAACCTTGTAGGGTCAAGCGCCTTGACGCGGTCCGTGAGGTTGAACTCTGGGTAGTAGTCTGTGATCTGGCCCCATCCCTCGTTGTAGATGACCCAAGTGTAAATGCTGGGGTAGTTCTTGTGCTGCTGGATGAGAATGTCGAGCTGGCGTTCCCAGTCAGCCTGCTCCTCTGCATCTGGTGTTCGAAGAGGCATAGACGGCATGTCCTGGATGAGCAATAGTCCGAGTTCGTCGCAAGCTCGGTAGAAGAGGGCGTTTTCTACTTTGATGTGCTTTCGCAGCATGTTGAGACCTAGATCCTTCAAGACCTGAAGGTCGTAAACCATAGCTTCTCGGTTGGGCGGCGTGTAGATACCATCGGGCCAGAAACCTTGGTCGAGTGTGCCGAACTGGAAGATGAATTCGCCGTTGATTAGCGGGCGCTTGACTCCGTCGATTTCGCCGATAGAGAAGGTTCGGAAGCCTGTGTATGAGTTTACGGTATCCTGTCCCAGCTTAACGGTAATATTGTAACTATATGAATCATTAGACTTTTTTCGATAAAAATGGTCAAAGGGGAGGTTAGACGCACAGAGTTGGCGAGTCCGGAGACCATAGGCTAGGGGAGTCCACAACGAAGTCAAAAGGCTGGTTAGCGACACCCTTCGCTGAAGCCACTTCCTTTCCTTTGCTATCGATGACGGAGACGGTAACTTGATCAGAACTCGCGTAGGCAGTTCCAACAGTCACGTTGACTATACAAACGCCATATTAGTATGAGTCGTGAAGCGCGCCCCCTATATAAACTGACCTTGTCCGGACATGTCAGCGATGATATCTAGCTGGTTGATGTATGTCTCTGGGACCGACTCAAGCCATACCTATTGCGATCAGTGTTAGTGCCGTATACTCTAACTCAAAGAATATCCGTAAAAACGGATGCCGTATATAGATGATTACTTACGCTCTGCCAGATACCCGTGCAAGGTGTATAGAAAATATGCGAAGGGTTACGAGCCTGCTTTCCAACGGGATTCATGTAACCTACAGAAATATTAGCGAGTCATGATATCAAATATGCAAAGCATAACCGCTTACCTTCGTGATCTGTGGGGTCAAATACGAAGACGTGTAGGGTGTTAGTGCCATGAGGGGTAAGATACTTGGTGATGTCGAAGTTAAAATGCCAGTAGCCTCCCCTATGAGTGCCGACCATATCACCGTTGACATAGACAGTTGCCTCATGGTCCACAGCTTCGAAGTTTAGCAAGACTCGACGGCCCTTTTGGGCGAATCCGTGAGGAACGTCGAACTCGGTCGAATACCAAGAATACGTCTGGTTCTGCTGCATAACGCCCGAGAGAGCGCTTTCGATACATGACGGCACGAGAATGTCCTGTTGGAAGCTGTCATCAGCCGGCACAACTTCGCCTCGGTAGGCTCCCTGCTTCCACTTCCAGATGCCGTTCAAGCTCTGCCAGTCAGATCGTTGAAGCTGGGGGCGCGGATATTCCGGCCAAGGATCTGTTCCAACGGAGTAGGTCCAATCAGTATCAAGCGGAGGAGTCTATAAAGTGTAAGCTCTTGATTTCGTTTACTAGGACAGTTGGTTGGGACGCCCTGACCTGGACTTTATATCCCAATGCTAGGTTGCCCAGCACTGGGACTAAAGTTAAGAGGTTTGTAAACAAGTTGGAATGCATCGTGTTTACTTCCCCTCGGTGGACTGATATCTTTGCGAGAGGGTAAAGCAGGCCGCTAGGTGCAGAGCGGTTCAAGGGCTTGGTCGGGTCGAAGAAGAATCTTGCGAGACTGGGGAAAGGCTCGACTCGTCATGATGGAGCAGTCTGGCAGGCCAGTCGTTGTTTAAATAAACTTCTGAGATGGTACAGGATGCGAATGGAAAAGCTTCACATCAAAGCTATGCCCAAGCTATGGTAGGGATTCTCCGCAATTCCAGACTGGAATGTTTGCTCACCTTCCTAATATTGACCACGGTTAGTCTTTAGCGGCTTGGATATGGGTACATAGAACATAGAACTACTATGTACTTGACCCGTGATCGATGTACGATGAACAAAAGACGTGGTGGCAAAACTAACGCCGTCACCGCTAAGTCAGGAAAGCTTGGTACTCGTTCATCTGGCCTGTTGGCTGCAAAGCATGCTTGGCTCTTAGTCTTAGCATAGGGAGGATATACGGCAGCTGATTTTATAAGGCTGTGTACATTATATTGTTATTGGACGATCTTATAGAGATTCACTAAAGCTGGGGGTCTAAAGTCTGTGACAGCGGCTCCATTGGAAGCAAGACTGTCAGAACAGGATCGGAATCCAATCGTGATATTCGGGATTTCATATCCCCATGCTTTTCTAGCAGGTATTATATTACGTATGCAATACATATGTAGTCTTATATGCATTGCCAAGGTAACGAATCCTCATCGGATAACCATATGCCTATTGAGAATGAATATGGCTTGACATAGGCCAAGCCAATTATGTTCTCGGGAAAGGTAAAAGCGAGAGCGGTGGGGAAGATTAGATAGTTAGAGTTGTACATACACGCATCAATATAATCAAGAAAGCTGCTAATGCAGTACGTCTTTAATGATGTAGTCAATCTGTCAATGTAGAGTAGAGTCCATCGGTTGGAGAAGAAAAGTACATAGGTAGACGGTAGACAAATAAACTACCTGGTACATAGGCTTCGGTAACCCCCCGGACTGCCGGGAAAGACTAGCGTGGCAGTAGCGTGGCAGTAGCGTGGCCAAGTTAGAAATGATATCAACAACGGCACAGGGACCGAAGAATAAGACGGAATAAAGGACTGAAGGTCACGAGAGCGCCGCGATATTAAAAAGGACCGAATCCGATGTGCATTAGCTATACCCGGCGTGTCTCGTTCTTCGCTTGTGTAATGCTGCTACTGCTGCCCTAAGCCTGTAATGCAGGTTTTGCAGTATAAGGCTGCGAAATAGAAGATAATGGTCAGCAACTTGGTGACTGGTACGATTCCGAAGTGAAGAATCTCGGCACTTGAGTCTAGATTCATCAATAACAAAAGAAGGTTTAAACAGAGCTCCCTTGCGTCCGAATTCTTACAACGTGACTACTTAGTCTGACTTGGCAGAATAATGACCTTTAGAAAATACCAGGTCATTCATGGATCATGGCAAACAAGAAGAAAACGCGAGATGTGAATTAGAAAGTCATCACGGCCAAAGTGGGTCAAATTCTGTAGGATTTAATGTTTAATTACCCCGACTTTTTTTAGTGTGTGTACATCAGGTACCGTACACCAAGCAAATGTGGATCCGCTGCTACGCACGGACCAGCCATTGGTGAGGCGTTATTGCTTACGGAATGGTTTTAATTATATATATAATTATTTTTATAATTTTTATATAAATTTAATAATTAATAATATTATGTGATTTATTTAAATATTATTATTAATTATAATATTATATTTTAAGTTTTTATATTTATAAATATAAACGTATAAATAGTTATTTTTATAAATAAAATATTAATTTACGTAAAAATATACGTAAATATTTTAATAAATATTTATATTAAAATAAATAATAATATTAATTATAAT